CAGTCATTCTTTCACGTACTCAGGTCGGCTCGCGATCTCCCCCATTGTCGGAGGTTTCAAGGCGCAATGATAGCCATAAGGGTCCCGCACCGATTCCGCTTCTCCAACCTTGGCGGCACTGTATTTGTCCAAATTCAAAATGAAAGAACAGAAATGGTTTTTCATTATGTTGGCGCTCTCTGAAGTAAATTTTCGGGATCAGCGTGTCATATTACCCAGGTATGCAAAAAAAATTTTTAAGCCAAGGATTTGCCGAGCCACTGTCTTTCTTGGTTGTTTAGTGACTGAAGTTGTAGATGGTGATTCGCACTTCAAAGCGTTGCAAACTCTTTATAGAAGTTAAGATTACCGATTGCTAGTACTTGAAAGTTAGATCTGCATCAAAATTTCAGATATAACAAGTATACGAAAGATTGCCCAATGCATTTATCAGTATAATTCGTATGCTTTTTCCCTCGACATCGTTCGCAAGCGAAGTTTTTCAACCAGAAATCTTGTGGAAGATAAAACACGATAAATTTTCTGAAGAGTATGGGTGGCATGCATGTACGACTGCTGTAAGCTTCATCAACAGCAATGCTATCTATAGCATTGTCTCTTCCCCCCCCCCCCCCCCCCCTCCCCCGCCCCACCCTTTTGTTATCCGCTCAAAGTGGTGTGAAGTGAAAAATACTGCTTTGGCAAAAATAATGGCGCATTGCCTCTTACACGACAGGACGTTTGATAAAGCAAAGCAAGCTTTACAAGATAGCGTATGAACCTCCACGGAAACTTTGATCTGTTTGAAGTTCGATTCCACAAGATAAAAAATCTCGAATACCCGAAAAATCGTAATCCCTTCCAAAAATGTCTCACGGATCTCGAATTCTTGGGCATGTACTCTTTACAGCAGAACATCCATGTTACTATGGAATTTTTCCAGATTAGAACACGAGAAATAAGATTAGGTCAGAAGTGCTAGTATGTTAGTTTTTGGTGAAAATTTGATTTCTTTGAAATTCAGACCAGCTAGAGTTTCATATTTATACTTCGAAAGGTCTATACTAAAAATTACTTAACCGGAAGTCAGGTTTGCTTTGGAAAAAATATGCCTAATTTCGTCTTCTCATTTTCTAAGATTACTTCTGTTGTAGAAAGTGTGTGCGTGAGCAAGTGAAGGGTTCTAAGGATTTTTCTAGAGGAGAATACTTTTTTCTAAAATTTTCACACTTTCGATGCTTTGAAAACTGGCTCCAAACTTTACTCGGATCAAACTCAACGCGAAAGTTTGACTTCATTTCGTGGAATTAGTTTGTTATTTTTTTCCTGCTCACCTTATCGCGATACTGCATAATATAACTTGACGCGACATTATTTTCCAAACAACCTAATAGCACCCGCTATCGTTTTCGGTTGTTATTTGGTGTTGCTTTACCAATTCTAAACGATTATGGTGAGAAGAAACAGAACCCGGCCTTCTTTCGTGTGCGATGATAATTCACATGACTTGGAAGAGGAACTAATTCAATTAAAGCACTTGCAGCAACGTAGTTATAGAGATTGTGAGGCTTCAGGAACGTTAATTAGCACCTAATCATTACCGTAAGCCAATCTGTGCACACAGCATCCTCGCCCTCATCTCTGAACAACAAAAGTGAATTTCAATGAAATTTTGATTTCAAAGTTCAGTAGCGAAATATGTCCGATTAAAGTAAAAACTTGTATCTAGGGGTTTTCAAGCACGCTGTCTCCGAATATGTTAGTGGTTTTGCTTGAAAATTCCTTTCTTAAGAAAATTTTCTTCAACATCACTGCAAAGCTGAAAAGCTGACATTCAAGCGTTTTTTATAACGCCAGTTTTTTTGAATTTGCAGTAAAGTTCGTAAAAATATCTCTCAAAAAGGAATAAATTCAAAAGCATAGAGCAAAACAGTAACATTTGAGGAAACAGTGTGCGAGGAAGTCCCTAAATACAAGTTTTTATTTTTTTTCAAGTAATATGTAATTGTCACGTAAAATAACTTTCGTGAGCAAAGTTTTAACGAACATTGAAAATTTTCGATATAGAGTCACTCAAGTATGGCCTACTTTGTAATAAATGCAAAAGTAAATAGTTTACTCACATTTGAAACAATGTTAAGGTGTTCAAAAATGACCACCTCCCTTGAGTGTGCCAATACTTGGAAATCTCAAAATTTGCTGAAACTTGGCCCACGGGGGTTATTTGATATGCTAATTACCAAAATAATGCTTCTATGCTTTCAGGATTTTTTGAATATGCTTACTGTACGTGTACGGTGGTAGAAAAACATGAGTGCTGGTATCTTGATGGGCCTATCAGATGTTAACTGACATTATGTCGCTAACATCACTATCACCTCGATAACGACCCTCCCCCTTCTTACTGACCCCTTTATTAACCCCCAGTTGTGGCGTGCCACACCCCACGCTTGACCTGCTCATGACCAGGGTCGAGCAAGAGATGTGGCACACAACCACCGATACGACCCTCCCTCCCCTAAATTCTTTCTCGATACCCCTAACCCTATGTTTTCGTTAGCACTGTAAGCATGACATGAAGACTCTACCAAGCAAAATTAGTAATATACTTGTAACTAACTGGCATACCCGGCTCCGCCCGGCTCTGTCATAACACTATGTCAAAGGTCACTATCCCTACTCCCGTACAAACCTTTCCCTGTGCCCACTTTTACTTGCCGATTCCCTATCGCCCGTATTGTTTTCGCAGTCAGCATGCCTCCCCACTTACCTCCTGTGATTCCCGGCCCCGGAAATCAGCTCAGCAGAAAAGTCGATAAAATCGATGAAAGGTGCAGATAATTCTGAAAAACTAATATTGTATTCGTAATCAGCATGCTCGATTGCCCCCTGTGCCGACTCTCAGCCCCGTATATTAACTTTGCAAAAAAATCAATAATAATCAATAAAATCGATATCGATCGATGATGAAAAGCAGCCTATCATTCGCCGTGCTTCGAAGTGTATGTGTGCTAAGTTTGGTCCGGATCGGCTCAGAAATGAAAATTTCTATTCGGAACCTACGCCCCGGTCCCACCCGGGCCGAGGGTCCAAAATGGCCCAGCATAGTGTGTGCTTCAAGATGTATGCTTACCATTCCTCCACTTTTTTCAGTTCATATTTTCTGTTCCTCTCCTGCTCCAGCTCCGAGTCAGTTCCACCACTCGTGTAGTATCTGTAGTGATTTTGTCTTCCTTCTTGACCGGCTCGCTTCGTGACACCGCATGCTCCTTCAAAATGTGAATGATCTCTACCACCCTTTACTACCTAACTTGAAGAATGATATAGCTTTCATTTTCTTAGATTTTAGTAAACAAATCAATAAATCGATAGAAACGCAACGAATTGCCGCGAAAAGTAGCGTATGACTTGCGCCGTGGCTTAATTATATGGGTGCAAAATTCAGCTCGAACGGTCTATTCATTAGAATTTTCATAAAACACAAACATCTTTAGCAACTTACGCACAAACTTTGAGTTTTATATATGTATAGATTATCAAGTCAAATAATTTTTGTGGGCCAAGTTTTAGGGAATCCTGGAAGTATTCAATATAGGGCCACTCAAGTATGGCCATTTTCAAACATGGTAAACTAAATTTCAGATGTGAATTGGCTACCTCTTTTTGCACTCAGTACAAAACATTACTTCCTATTTGCTCATGCCATGGATCCTGCTTCAAATAATCATCAAACTATGAAATTAAAAGTCGGCCAAAATCTCGTTTGTCCCATTTTTGCTTACAGCGGTTGTGCTTCGAGTGACTATTGCATAAAAAGAAGACGATTTCAGCTTTAATTACTTCTGCGAAAAGTACGAAATTTTGGCTATCAAATTGTATGCAACTTGTTCCCTGAATTTCTCTTTGGAGGTAAGTTAACGGGGTGTGGCACAACCTCAGAAAAGCTGTGACTGCCATACCCCCATCAATTTACCTTCAAATTCCTGATATAACTGCGTTTTTCATATCGCTGCTGTTGGTTAACTTTTTTTACGCAGAAGAGTTTCATTTGAAATCGTTTTTTTTTGAGGGAAAGATACAGTCGTTTTTTCTTACCTATGCAAAAGGAAGATAATGCGAAAATATTGGGTTACGGTAACATGCTAAGTTTGCGCTACTACGTGAATCGCGAGGAAGGAGGCAAAAATAAATATGCTCGATAATATGAGTTTTGTAGTTTACGAATAAGTGATTTGAGCCTGAATTGGTCTTGTGTGATCTGGGATGAAAGCGAAAAAATGGAACAAACAAGATTTTGGCTTGCTCTTAATTTCTTATTTTGAAAGTTTATCTGAGGCGGATTTCTAATATGAGCAAAAAAGCAGTAGTGCTTTGTATTTGGTGCAAAAAAGTAGTTGACTCCAAAGATCACATGTTCAAAATGACTATCTCACTTAGGGTGGCTCCATATCTGGAAACCTCAGAATTCGCTGAAACTTGGCCCACAGGAGTTATTCGACATGTAATTAAAATGATGCTCTAATGCCTCAGGGCTCTTTGCGCTTATTGCATGTATACGATGGTATTCCAACATTATCGTGTTAGTATTTTGCCTGATGGGCCTATTCGATAATGTTAATGGATATCATGTTATCACTAACATCAGAAATCTCAATAACGACCCCTCCCTTATAACTACGACCCACCAGGTGTGGCATGTCACACTCCTGACCCTCCTCGATGCCACTATAACTAAGCTGCGGCAAGTGCTTTAGGTAGATAAGTTCCCTTACCCAGATGACTGTGACGTTTTCATTATCACATTACCCACAAAGTATCTCATGTCAATCATTACCCAGTAGTAAGTTCCAATTTTCCACTTGCCATGAACAATCATACTTGATCCATCGTTTCACCGCAAGATTAGTATGGAACAACAAGAACACAACTAGTCTGCAAACAGGTTTGACCAACGAATCAGTTTTTTAAATGGTTTATTATAGAAAAGCCAGTTGTTACAATTTCCATCGCAGAAAGAGCTAATGTTCTGCTGTCTGAATCTGCAAAACTTGGAAAACCAAAGCGGATTGGTTCGTATTGTGTATGTTGACGTAGATTTATTTTTGAATGGAAGCAGTTTCTTAATGTCTTTTTCAATCAAAACCTATTCACAGGTGAGCAGCGATCGACAGTTGGTACCTAAGGGTGCTAGATATTTGGATACAGATGCGCTGCGCGATATAGTAGACAACAAAAATCTTTACGAAGGATTCGAAACATTCAAAAATAAAGTGAGTTTTTTCAGATTCACAAAAAAGATGCAATCAAGTAGTTTTCACTGTTAACGTGTGTGACTGCACTCCAGGATGAAGCTGCAGGAGCTTAGTGTAGTTTCTGTTGAGTTTCCTTGGCTGGATATACGCACACAGCACGGCGGAAATGAGAGCGCGAAACTTAAGAACGTAAATGCGGTTACAATAACCTCCAGCACAAGGACGCGAATTAACCACGTTTTATTTAGAACTAGATGGCATCCTGGAATAACATCCACGAAAGTCCCGCGAAGTGGGCTTTTCGTGCGAATAAAATGGAATTAGTCCATGCGGTGCGATAAGATATCGCATTCGCGAATCCATTTATTCCATACAAAATTCTTCAGCAAACCTTTCTCCAACTTACCTGAACCTGTTTACTCACTCTAGCAAACTCATTTCTACCAAGTGGTCGGTATCTAACTAGGGCTGACCTAACATTACGATGACAGTCACATGAATATTCTATGCTTTCACACTTCATTATACATCAAAAAGTGCCATTTGTTATCGATAACTATGCATCGAAAACATCTTTAAGAATAGCATTCACTTAATATCCGGGCCTTCGCTTCTCAAGACTTCTATGGATCTGCTTTGAATCAAATCCGTATGTAGAGTTTTCTGGGGAAAGCAAACTTTGGCTAGACTTGCACTGCAATATGTGAAGCAAAATGCTTATCTCGTAGGAAGCCTTGCCCTACAATACAAAGGATTCTTTGAGTCGGAAAACTACGAGTCGCACAGGATGACTTCGCAAATGTTCTACTTTAGCTCTTCCTTGTCTTCCAGCACTATTGTTTATATCTCTAAGTAGTTGAATGTATGGACTATTGCTAGTAGAAAACTTTTCACAAAATTTTTCTTCCTAGCTAGCGGCATTTCAGTAATTTTTGCGACCAATCTCAAAATCGCGTTTGAAATGCCGTCTTTGTGGTTCGGTTCTACGAAAAGAGTCAAAAGGTAGCTTCTGAGTGATTGTATTAAAACGCAAATCTTTCCTATTCTCAAATACAAATCATGAATTTAGTTTTGGTTAATAATTTGAAGAGTTAACAAACATTATTTTATTTACACAGGAATTTTCGCATCGACTTTTGATATTTGAAAGTATTTGAGTTTGCCAGCGAATATTTTGGTGAATATAACCTTCTTCCATAATTTTTATAGCGTTTGTATGAGCTCAGAAAGAAACACTTATTTCAGACTTCATAATAGACATGAAACTTTCTTCACTCATTTATTACCTTAGAATGGGCTAAGGAACACATTCTCAAAAAATCGCCATCAAAAATATGCAAAAAGGTCAAAAATGGGCTTAGTCCCAGCTCACCTTGCTACTGGGAGTAAAATGGGCTTTCAAGTCCATTTAAAATGGAAGTAAACATTTTGCCCCATTCTAAATGGACTTTTCGCATGATTCTTTCGCGAGCGAGAGCTCAAGTAGGGTTGAATCATTTTCATCACACCGCTTTGCCTCGTGGTTGCGATGAGATTAAAATTTTTGGATAACGCTAGCAAAAGTAGATTCCGACCAGTTTCTACCGCGAACGAATAAAATGGGGTTTGGAAGTCTATTTTCCTCCATTATGGACCTTCGTGGATATTATTCCTGGTCCTGCCGGGAAGCTGGCTCTAATGCCCGGTGGAAAGCATTAGAATCCAAAAGTGTCAAGACTCAACTTCCTTATCCATATCTGAAGAAGCGCTTTCGCGACATATCCCGCTGACTCGAAGAACCGGATCCTCCTCGCCGCAAAATGTAAATGATCTTTACCGCCCTGCTCACCCAACTATGATCCAGGAATGATTGATAAGTTTTTTCCTTTACATGTGAGTAAACAAATCAGTAAATCGATAGAAGGACCCAGTGAATCGTCGCAAAAAGTAGCCTGTCTTCTGCGCCTGGTCTCATTTATAAGGAAGCAAATTTCAGCCTCATCGGTTCACAAACAAAGGAGTCTATAAGCCACATACTTACATACGAACAAATTTACAGAGACTGAGTTTTATCTATATATAGTTGAGCCGTATTTGAGTGGGTCGCTTTTCTTGCGACCGCCTTGCCTAAGCTATGCAATGATTTTCGCATACACTCCCATCATTTTCTCAGGCTTGAGCGTTAAAGAGGCTTAGAGGTGAGCTTTCATCGCCAACTAAGCGTGGGAAAATATTCAGAAAGCGCGTTCGCGAAAGCCCAAGCAAGGCGGTCGAGCAAAAGTCATCTCTTCGTCTTCGCACGTTTAAAGCCACGGGCACACATCGCGCAATTTCGGTCGCGATGCGATCTGGCAATTTAATTGGTAATAACTCATCGTAAGGGGTTTCTGAATGTATGGAAGATAGGACATTTTATAAACGTAAGAATGTTATACATGCTTTGCATTTGAGGTTTGCGAGCATCAAATTTAAAAAATTCTGGCAAACTGCGAGATCGCATGGCAAATGGAATCGCATGAGGTATGCCTGGGGCCTAATACCGCTTTTAGCACTTAGTCCAACACTAGCTTTTGATTGATTGAAGTTTAAGCACATCTTGAAGGAACTTGCAACTCACAGCCAATATCTCCCGGTAAATGTACTTTGTACATATTACCATGTACTCTTATTTGTTGGGTAACCTATTTACCTTTGTTTTTTAGCCTGAAGAAAGACAAAATATGTTTTGGGATTGGATCACTACAAAAGCACCTACGAGAAGTCAGTTGAAAGAGGTAGTTTGTTATGCAACACATACTGTTACCGCCAAAAGTTGCGGACAAACCACTCTCCCTTTTTCATCGCTCTTTTTCAGAGGGAAAACAAGGATGTAAAAATGTAATAATTGCATGAGGTGATAGAGCTCTTCAAGCTCTACAATACACACTTTGAGCTTTTCGAGAAACATGTGTTCTAAAAATTTTAAGAATCTTTTTCTAAAAAAGTCCGAAAATGGCCGCGTCACAATGTCGCGGACAATAATTCTTCGAACGCAAAAATTTCTTTTCAGTCCTATTTTGAAGCAGAAACGCAATTTATCCGGGCGGGTAAGCATACTACTATACAGAACTCGTCAAGAACTACACACTGTTTATGGTTGCTTCCCCAAAAAACGCAAGCTTGAGTTTTATTTTACTTTTCTCAAAAAATAACTTCTAATTTCCTTTATCAAGCCAAATTTCTTCGCACGGTAACCCGTTCAAGACATCCCAACAAAGCCATCTGGATAAAATAGATGCTATTTGCCATCCTCTATGCATCAAACATGTGCTGATGAGTTTCTTTGCTGAAAATGGCCCTTGGCAGTGCTTGCACATAACCCCACCTGCACCTCACCACTGACTTGTACCGCGTTGCAGGCTTGTAACTCGGCCTGCAGTGAATTTTCGAGCCTGCAATTACGCTCATTCGAAAGAACGAGACTTCCTCTACACGACGGTATGCAAATAAGTTGAGTTTGAGAAATTTCAGAGATTTGACGGATGGGGTGAAAAAGTGCAGCCTCAAAGGTGACTAGAGTGAGAGCTCTTATGAACACCAGAACAGTCTTAAAGCTTCGAAATGGATCTATTACAAGAAAAACTGACTTTTGAACTTCCAGGATATAATTGGTAGCTCTTTTCAACTTTAGCTGAAAAGTGCTTAGACTACAACTGAAGCTGCCCTCTACCACCTACCACCCCATCCGCCAAATCTCTGAAATTTCTCAAACTCAAATCATTTGCATACCGTCGTATAGAGGAAGTCTCGTTCTTTCGAATGAGCTTAATTGCAGGCTCGAAAATTCACTGCAGGCCGAATTACAAGCCTGCAACGCGGTACAAGTCAGTGGTGAGGTGCAGGTGGGGTCATGTGCAAGCACTGCCAAGGGCCATTTTCAGCAAAGAAACTCATCAGCACATGTTTGATGCATAGAGGATGGCAAAGAGCATCTATTTTATCCAAACGGCTTTGTTGGGATGTCTTGAACGGGTTACCGTGTGAAGAAATTTGGCTTGATAAAGGAAATTAGAAGTTATTTTTTGAAAAAAGTAAAATAAAACTCAAGCTTGCGTTTTTTGGGGAAGCAACCATAAACAATGTGTAGTTCTTGACGAGTTCTGTATAGTAGTATGCTTACCCGCTCGGATAAATTGCGTTTCTGCTTCAAAATAGGACTCAAAAGAAATTTTTTATTGTCCGCGACATTGTGACGCGGCCATTTTCGGACTTTTTTAGGAAAAGATTCTCAAAATTTTTAGAACACATGTTTTTCAAAAAGGGCAAAGTGTAGATTGTAGATCTTAAAGAGCTCTATCACCTGGTGCAATCACTACATTTTTTCATCCTTGTTTTCCCTCTGAAAAAGAGCGATGAAAAAGGGAGGGAGGCTTGTCCGCAACTTTTTGGCGGTCACTGTATGTCAAAGGATATGTTTTGTTTAGAAGCTCAATGGAGCTGATTTTGTATGTGGTCGTGGGCTACTTAAACGAGTAGCAAACGCTCCGTATACTTATGCTCACCGAAAATCAAAGGATAATTACTGGAGGATTTCTGCTAAACGCGTCGGTGACGTAATCTTTCTTTGTGAAAGTGAACGTTATCGAAACCACAAGCTGCCTCAAAATGAGCAACGTGAAGTATATCGTGGCTTCAGTTTTGGCGAGTACGTTACAGAGACAAGAAGAGATGTGAGTTTATTGATTTTTAAACAAAAATAAATTTTTGGGATTGACAGTGTTACTAATTTTTTGAAATGGTCTGTAGCTTTTTCAAAGTAATCAAGATGCAGAAAAAAATGACTTTGTGTATCTGCCGAAGTGTTCTTTAGTCAAATTAATATATTTATAAAAATTTTTCTGCGTAGCAGCGGTAGTTATCTCAAAAAAAAACGTCAATTTTATAGGTTACTTTGGCAACAGATGAGCCGGCCACAAACATCGATGAATTTGTAGCAGTAATGCAGTCCACGTTGGCTTTAAGTTCCAAATCCCAAAAGCCTCTGAATTTACTCTATAACGGAGAAATTGACGCACTCTACAGTAATGAGACTTGAATGCTTGTAAATTCTCATATGATTTGGTTTCAGAAGAGAACGGAGTCCCCGTAGAGTTGAAGGTGACAAAGGTGTCACATTTGTTAACAAATCTTAGTCGAAAGGGAGATAAGCTCAGCCGTACACAATGGGAATGGTTCTTGCACTCGTATTTTATGGGCATCACCGACATTTATGTTTGCTATGATAATGAAGAAGGAGTTGTCAAAGAGGTTAGTTAGTCAATTGTTGCACAATATGCATTATTCGTTTAGGTTGAAAAAAAGTCCGTTAAAGACCTTTTCGAAGCAAGCAAAGTAAACGTATGCATGAACGTGCTCTATAAAGTGTTGAACGAGGTTTGTCGCGAAGATCCAACAATTCCTTGAGTCTTGAAACACTTTGGGCTAATTGCACTTTTTAGTTTTCTTCATTTTTTTCAGATAAAATCAATCTTAGAAAGTGATGGTGATGTCTGTGTCGTCGAGCATTTGAAAGGTAGCGTCGAAGCAAAAATCTGTCGTGTGGCTTCTACAAATTTTTTCTCCCCCAAGTTCAAAGAGCAATTTGGAGTGGATTAAAGAATTCCAAATCTTCCCCAAACACAAATTTCAATATGGAAATTCAGTCAATTCGTAAGAATGTGTCACCGAGTTTAAAGTCACTGTTTGGAAATTCTACACCTAGTTTTGGCTTTACTGCAGCCAAATTTTTTTAGTGTTAATTTCTGTTCCGACTTTCGACTGAATTACCTGTCACCGGCGTTATTATTACCGTAATCAATAATTCGATAATATTAACATAGCTCGATATTCGTTCGCAATTGCTAGTAAACATCCTTTTGTGTTTCGATTTTCTAATTTGTATACGTATAAAGCCAAATGTCTGTTAATCTCTGATAAATGTATGTCCGTATGCGTGTACGTATGTTCCCGGTACGAAATTCCCTTTCTGAACCGGTCCGGATCAAACTTTGCACATACACATTCGGAACGGAACGACTGTCGTAGCCTACTAATCGTCATCGATCGATATCGATTTTATCGAAGTTTTGCGAAGTTTGAGCTACAGGGACTGAAAGTTGGCAAATTTCAAGTGAACAGGCTGATTACGAATATAACAGAAAATAATTACAATATCGGTTTTTCGAATTATCTATGATTTAGTCGACTATCGGTTCTTTGTTCAGTGGTTATGATTCGGTTTCGAACTCGATTCTGCTGAACCAGAGTGCTCAATCCCGAAATTTCTTCCCAGTCATCCACACAAGTTCACTTAGTATGGCTGTCGTAATGGCTACATTACAGTATCTACTGTCGCTTGAAAATCGAGTTTTGTTGTGCAAAAGTGCGTCAACCCAATGGTGAGGTTGGAGTCTGTCCGTCAATATCAGCGATTACGCAGAGTTTATGGAAGCGCTCCTCGTCTCATCTATCGAAAATGCTCAGTAGACTTTATGGCTATCATCTTATATATAAAGCTGAATGTCTGTTTGTATGTCTGTCTGTATGTATGTATGTATGTATGTATGTATGTACGTATGTTCCGAATAGAAAATTCCATTTCTGAACCGATCCGGACCAAACTTGGCACACATACACTTTGGGCCCCGGCGGGTGTCATAGGCTACTTTTCGTCATCGATCGATATCGATTTTATTGATTTTTATCGATTTTTTTGCAAAGTTTGAGCTACGGGGCTGGGAGTTGGCACAGGGGGGTAATCGAGCATGGGGATTCCGAATACAATATTGGTTTTCAGGATTATCGATTACTTTTATCGATTTTATCGATTTTTTTGCAAAGTTTGAGCTACGGGGCTGGGAGTTCGCACAGGGGGGTAATCGAGCATGGGGATTCCGAATACAATATTGGTTTTCGGGATTATCGATTACTTTTATCGATTTTATCGATTTTTTTGCAAAGTTTGAGCTAGGGAGCTAGGAGTTGGCACAGGGGGGTAATCGAGCATGCTGATCATCCCCAAGGGGGTGATCAGCATGCTCGATTACACCCCTGTGCCAAATTCCATCCCCCTAGCTCAAATTTTGCAAAATCGATAAAATCGATAGAAGTAATGGATAATTCCAAAAACTAATATTGTATTCGTAATCTGCATGCTCGATTACCCCCCTGTGCAAACTCCCAGCCCCGCAGGTCAAACTTTACAAAAAAATCGATAAAATCGATAAAAGTAATGGACGATCCTGAAAACTAATATTGTGTTCGTAATCAGCATGCTCGATTACCCCCTGTGCAAAATCCCAGCCTCGCATGTCAAAATTTACAAAAAATCGATAAAATCAATAAAAGTAACCGATAATTCTGAAAACTAATATTGTACTCGGAATCCCCATGCTCACTTCCCCCCTGTGCCAACTCCTAGCCCTGTAGGTGAACTCTGCGAAAAAATCGATAAAAATCGGTAAAATCGACATCGATCGATAACGAAAAGTGGACTGTGACACGCGCCGGGGCCCGAAGTGTATGTGTGCCAAGTTTGGTCCGGATACGGCGGAGCCGGGTAAGCCAGCTAGTTTGAAATAAACAAGGGCTTGAAAACTCCTCAAACCAGCTTCTTGTTAAAGCAGGTTGACTTTTGATGCTTTTGAAAGCAAAAAATGCAGTGGTTGCTTCTATTTGAGTACTATGACAGGCCGTAGGTGTTGCAAATGTTTCATACTTTAGGACGCACTTAAAAAAAATTTGGAAGTCAACGAATACAGTAGTGATTAGATAAACCAGGTGGCTATATAATTTTGTCCAGCTTTCATTAAGGGCTTTTTCAAATTTTTTTTCGTTTTTCTCCGTTCAAACTCAACAAGAGTGGAAGCCGCTTTGAGGGTTCATGGTATTGACACGCGCGCAACATAACAAAGTTTCAGACAGATTCATTTACAAGAACGGAAATTACGATGTTTCCTACAGTGGCTTTATAATTATGTTCAGTGTATTTAGAACGCAAGTACGTACGGGGTGTCTCAAAAACATGTGCCCACTGTTTGATTGTTGATGACTCTTCGTAATGGAATCTTTCGAGAAGTTTTGGGTATCATTTTATAGACTTGGCTTTAGCTTGGATTTACAGTACGGAACGAATTGCCGATCTCTCTTGCTTACTGTAGAGATAAAGGTAGGAAACCGCTGCATATGGCGCCACTGTGGGATATGCGTTCGGAAAAATTCAAAGAGAATTTGGATGCTTGTGTAATAAGGTTCTAATGCATGCTGACTTTACTACATAACTTTTTGGCCGTTCGCAGAGCTTCTTCCATGGTTTAATCAAACTTCTGAGAACTATTAGACTGGTTGTCAAGGCGAATCTGGCATAACTTGCGAGAAATGCGTTACAGTAAAGTGCGAGTTTCTATTCGATTCCAATAACCTAGTGTAAAGTTAGCTATTTCAGTCCTTTTTTTGGATAAAATATGACCCTCAGTGACCGAGAACTCCGCGCACACAAAGTCTCGGGTTATAACCACTGAACATGAGTCGGAACCAGGGTCCACGTGAAGTGTGACACGCCACATCTGGGCGGTCGTAGTTAGGGGGTCAGAGGAAGGGCAAGCGTGTTGTTGCAATTCGGAACCCTCTCCTACAACTCCTTCCCTCCCCCTCCCCCCCCCCCCCCCGCCCTCCCCTCGTCTCCCCTCTCCCCTCACTCCTCCCATTTCCACGTTTGGGGTAAGCTGCATTAACGAATGTCAGATAACTTCAAAAAATGCCTAGAACTGAAAAAAAGGAGCAGAAAAAGACAAATTTTTATACGAATTGGGAACTAATGCAAGTGATGCTTGATTGCTTGAAAACCTCCCATGATGAATGTAGATTGGATAGAATGTTCTGCACAAATTTGATTGCACTGTATTGTGGCCGCGAAAAAATGGACAATGACGAAGAAGGATTTTAATTCCAGTCTGATACCAAAACATTTGAACTGTAACCTGCTTAGACGCTGTTTTATAAACTAGAATTGAAGTAAAATAACAACTTAGAAAAATTCAGAACTGAAGAGCGATTCGTTCGAGTCGTTATAACTGGATACTCTATGATAATTTAGTTGCTAGTGACAGTTAAGAAATCATTTTGCAATTTATGGGTTTTTGGCGTAAGATATTCATGCTCAAGTGAATTTACTGCAAGACAATCGATATAATTCTAGAACTAACAAGAATTAGGTAAAATAAGAATTAGGTATTCTAACCTAACAAGGTCAAAATTTGAAGCGGCCAATCCCAGCAAGCCGTATACCGTTGAACACTCCATAAAAAACTGATTACTCATCCGCCTTCGGTATCTGCTTACGGTCTCCTATACAAAGTCATAGCCCTTGATTCGGCCGTGGGGCAGCCGCTCGCTATAGATCATCGCCCAGGCAGAACTCAAGTTGGACGAACAGCGGTGTGGTAAGTGTGCAGACTCATAGGATAAGTTCAAGGGTTTTGTTTGCAAATTCGATTCCCTTTGCTTGCTACTCTTTTGCAACCCATTCCTAATATCTATATTGTAAGCGCGAACTTCAACGGTTGAAAAGGTAATCTAACGTCTAAAAACTTCGAAAACTCATATTTTTCGGTCTGACCTTCCTGAGAAGTGAGGATGATCATGGTGAATGCAAGTATAAAAGTTGGTGAATAGGAATGCAAGAAAGAACAGAAACAAGCAGCAAGAAAGAGGAAGCTGAAATTGTACTCTTTACTTGCACTCTCAAAATTCAAAAAAAAATAAAGTTTTCGAAGTTTCTAGAGGTTACATTACTTTTTTACCCGCGTTAGGGTCTTCGCGCTAACACTACAGGCACTGGCAATGGATTGCAAAAGAAGCAAGCCAAAGGAATCGAACTTGCAAACAAAAATTAGAACTCGTCTTGTGAGCTCTGCAACCTAAGGCCTCGGACATACCTCACCCGATTTTTGTCGCAACGCTATGGCAATGCTCCAAACGTTCATAACTCATCGTACGGGGTTTTCGAATGTACGGAAGATCGGGCATTTTATCACCCTACGAAAGTTATACATGCTGCACATTTGGGGTCTACAAGTATTGAATTTGAAAACATCTGGCAAATTGCCAGATCGCATGGCGACTGAAATCGCTTGAGGTATGTCTCTTGCCTAACATTGCGCTATGCACCCAAATCGCGTTGTGCCGAGGCGACGAGTAGACGAGCGGCAGCCCTACGGCGGATTCGAGGGCCATAACTTCATGTAGGAGACCGATGAGAGATAACGAAGGAGGATATGTAATCAGCTCTCCATGGAGTGTTCGACGGTTTACGGCTTGCTAGGATTGGCCACTTCGAAATTTAACCACTTCCTTGTAAGACCACTTCAAACTGTGATGAATTTTCTGGTTTAATTCCAGAACGCGATATCATTTTCTGCAGGGAAAAAGGATGTTGTTGTTGAAGCGTAAGGACGACTGGAAAGCTTATCTCACACGTTTTGTACAAATTTTTCAAAGAAAAACTATTTTAACGCCTTTTCGAAAGATGTCAAAAACTTGCTAAAGCAGTTTGATATGAAAACTCGTAAATAAAGTTAAAGAAAGACTGGCAGGCTGCAAAGAATAGGTTTTAGAGTGGAGTGCCCAGAAAATTAAAGAAAAGAGTTGCAGGCATTTAGGAGCAGTCAGCTCAGAAAAAAGTTGAGATGCGACTCGAGCAATTTAGATGCCATCCTAAAAACCAAAAACTGGGATTTTTGAGCTTGAAATTTTGTAACTCACTGAAGACACAAAGACAATCGTAATTTTTAGGATACAATCTGGCGCCGTTATACAGCATGGTTGCAGTGAACAGCTTCCACAGTGTTGGAAAAATTTAGGGGCGACTCGAATACAACTCGATTACAATAATTACTTTTGTCTTTTGTTAATATATAGTGATTTCTGAAAACCCACGGGTTATATAATGAAACAAATTTTTACAGATATGGCGGATCTCTAGAGTGCAGCTAAATTGTACGTACCGTAGCAAAAACATTACATTGAGATTGCGGCCATTGGTGGTGAAGATATGCGCCCTTGATGAATGTGTGAGGACAGCGGGGCTTTGGAATCAGAACTTCTGTGCCCATTGATGCATTCAGCATGTCAATCCCATGCATGTCTTCAAAGTGCTTTGAGCTTCCGGTTTCTGTTAACTTTTTTTATTATAACTAAGACCAGCAGGCACGGATGCCCGTCTGAGACACCACTTTCTGCATGAAGAAGAAATGCTATATCCGTCCCCCCCCCCCCATTAGCGAAGTATTCGAATTTGAAGAAGAAGACGCCGTTTGCGGCAAATGCGGTCCTGCAGCCCTTACTTCAACCTCAAACAGACTTTCTAGTGCTTTCTCCACGTTTCGCCATATTTTCTGAATGTCAACAGTCTTCTCGAATACTGAGCGATGTTCCCGCTGCTATGCTGGTTTTTTCATTTGTGGATTTAGATTAAGCTTGATGAAACGACCAAGTTTGAAAAATGTAGTGAAATCTTTTTTCGCTAAGTGATATGTCTCGAAATGCTTTGAACCACCATGCAATGACGTGAAACACGAAAGAATACTGTACGAGCTTGAAATGGATTTGACGGTACCGCGCTCCGCCGCAAAACCGACGTGTTTTGTCCACTAGGTGTCTAGTGGGGGAGGACGATTATATTTTCGAGAAGTAAGAATGTTTCCTATTGAGGAACGCATTCTGTTATACACTGTAAAGAATATGCAATCAATATTGGCTATTTGGTTCTTTGCAAACGGTTTTTTATCTAAACTCCCTCCTCTTGAACCCTTCACCCCCTCATCGTAGGTGCCCCTTACGATCCCCCTTACGACAGTCCCATTACACGCTTAACTCTGCAAGGGAGGAGGGGGTCGTAATGAAGGCGAACAATAGTAATACGAAGGTTGTTAATCGCATATCAAATCTCAGCATGCAAAATGCAAGCACTAAGACACTGACCTAACACCATATCCTACTGTAAGCATAATAAATTAATTTTTGAAATCAGCATGTATACTATACTAAGTTTTCGCTGGGTCTGAGTCATCCAAATATTACCCCCCCCCCCCCGCCCACACGAAGTGAAGTAGTCAGTTTTTTTGCATACGGTTAATTTTATTCATGTGTCAACTATACCCCGTTGTCGAAAAAAAAACACTGTAAAAAGGATAAAGGATAAAGGATTTGGCGTCTTCAATATCCTCCGGGGGCATGCGCCGAACGCACACACTAACTTCATGGTCGAAGAGGCAATTGTATGCGTGCGGGCCTATTACAATGACTTGCGGAGGCCAGCCGTTTCCAAGTCAGTGCTTTTATCCTCCCAGATTACTCTGGTAACAATTTACCGGCCCCGGAGGGTAGAGAGCTTGGTTGGCCCAGGGGCGGGGATTGAACCTGTGTCCGATTTGGTCATAGCGGCGCCTCATACCACTACGCCACTAGTCCCCCAAAAACACTGTGCTTTTTTTATTTATTAGGTTGTCCGGAAATTAATGCCCGTTTTGAATTTCAACTGCAGTAAGTCATACACTTCCCACTTCTAAATAGGTTGCAAAGTACCATTCGATAGAGCAAAGCAAGCTCTATAAGATAGCCACCTTGCTTTTGCAAAGCTCTCATCCACCTCGAGTTTCGAACCAAAAACTAAAAAGACTCACCAGTCCGAAAAATCGAAAAAAAATCGTAACTCATTTCATAAAAATTCTACAAAAATTCTAATTTGCTCGCGTAAACACTATTCACATAAAACATCTATATGCGCCTTTGCCGTATTTTTTTCTCTGTTAGAAATCAAGAAAATGGAAATTTTCGTGCATTTGCCAAAGTAATGCTATGCCGTCCCCACTTAGGTAGTTGTATACCACAAGCCTGTAGAAGTACAGACTCAAATTCTCAGCTCTCTACAAGCTTTAGTTCTCGAAAAATACCGAAAATAGCTTTTCCTAGTTAGGTGGTCCAAGCTAAAATCCAAATTTCTTGAGAACTAAAGCTTGTAGAGAGCTGAGAATTTACGTTCATACTTCTACAGGCTTGTGGTATACAACTACCTAAGTGGGGACGGCATAGCATCACTTTGGCAAATGCACGAAAATTTCCATTTTCTTGATTTCTAACAGAGAAAAAAATACGGCAAAGGCGCATATAGATGTTTTATGTGAATAGTGTTTACGTGAGGAAGTAAGAATTTTTGTAGAATTTTTGTGAACTGAGTTACGATTTTTTTCGATTTTTCGGGCTGCTGAGCCTTTTTAGTTTTTGGTTCGGAACTCGAGATGGATGAGAGCTGTTGCAAAAGCAAGGTGGCCATCTTGTAGAACTTGCTTTGGTCTATCAAACGATACTTTGCAACCTATTTAGAAGTGGGAAGTGTATGACTTACTGCGGTTGAAATTCAAAACGGGCATTAATTTCCGGACAACCTAATACATCGGGAACCCTACATCAAATAAACTCTAATCAATTACCACATATCAGCTGATCCATTGCCGTTCGAGGAAGATTCCCACGCAGTGCCTTTGCACCACCAATGGTTTAGTGACATCACCCTGCCAGACATCACACCGCTGGTAGAGATCATAAGAAACCATTGGCATCTCGCTATAGCAGCACTCACGTCTGCAGCAATTCTCGCGATCGCGACCTACCTAGGTGGTCCCATTGTGCTAGTATACGTTGTCAAAGTAGTATCGCATAATCAAACTAATGATCCGCATAATCATATGGATGCTACGCTTGGTATCAGCTCCAATTGCGTATTGCTTGCCAAAATTAGCAAAATCCAATAAACATGAGCGGATTCCTACAGTTTCAGCTGTTGTAAGCAGCTGTTAAACAAAAAAGGAGAAATTTCGCACTACATTTTGCTACTGTGCTGTTTTTTCTCAGAAAACTCCTCTCCCGGAGCGCTACAGTGCCTATCAGCCTTATGATTTCGGTCATAATCAGCTGATAGGTTCCTGTAGCACTTCTTCTCGCCTGGATCCGTTCAAAACGCCAAATCATCAAACAATTCGTCTACAATCGCCGTCGTCTTCAACAAGCTGCACCTCAACAACTGCCACTACCGTCACCGTCTACTTCTACTACTACCAGCCTCTTTCCGTCATCAATCCAATGGTTCACCATCAACGACTACCGTACAACTCACTCAACGCCACAACTAATTACAACAAGCCGATTATCACCATACTACTTGTAGATGCAGTTGTGAACACCTAGTCATGTATTTATTTATTATCATTCTCTACATGTATGTATCCCCTTGTCTGGCCGGAGTATCATCGACCGATCGATGATTCCTGATACCCGTGCCATATGACGTCATAGCCGAGTGGGCAGGCCATGTCTGCCATGCGTCCACCTGGGAGGTCTCACCTCACTCTTGATCACACGTTGACCACCCAAGGTCACAATCTCACGCTCTCGGTTACAGTAATCCTAATAAACCACTGAACCACCATTCTTGTTGTCTATTTCACCGTAATACGTCGCATACCGAGGCAAACCCCTCGAAGAGTCTACACCCGCTAATAAAACATTCGAATAAAACATTCGAATAAAATCTATTCGAAACCCCGTTTTTTGATTATTCGAGTTTTCGAATAATATTCGAAACCTCGTTTTTTGATTATTCGAGTTTTCGAATAATATTCGAAACCTCGTTTTTTGATAATTCGAGTTTTCGAATTTTATTCGAAACCCTGTTTTTTGATTATTCGAGTTTCGAATATTATTCGAAAATGGAAGAACTCCGAATATCGAATTTCGAATACGGATATATTCGAATATTTTATTCGAATGATCGAATTTCTGTTCGATTCGGACCCAAGTATAATGGCGACTGGAATCGCGTATGCGAGACATGTCCAGGGCCTAACACCGCCTTTGCGCCTTCGTCCAGCAAGTAGCTTTTGAATCATTGAAGTTTTTACACAATCTTAAAGAAACTTGCAACCCACAGCCAATATCTCCCGGTAATGTACATTGCACATATTAACAGGGACTTTTTATTTACTGGGTAATCCATTTGTCTTTGTTTAAGGCTAAAGAAAGACAAAATATGTTTTGGGAATGGATCACTGTACAAGCACCTGTGAAAAGTCGTTGAAAGAGGTAGTGTAATATCCAACACATACGTCAAAGCATATAATTTGTTTAGGTGCTCTATGGAGCTGATTTTGTATGTGCTCGTGGACTACTCAAACGAGTAGCACACTCTCCGTATAGTAAGTTTCAGCACAGTTTAGGCTGAAATTGGACTGGCGGGAATCCGCTTCGCGATTCGCGCCGTTTTGCAGTTTGCGTCTCTGCATTCTGATATGTCTCGCAGAACCAGTGGCGGTGCGGATGCGCCGCTCCACTTGGAATGTTTCGCCTGCTCCGGGTTGAAAAAGATTGTATATTACCTAAAATCAGGATTGGATGAGTACTGGAAGTTTTCTGCTAAACGCGTTGGCGACGTAATCTTTCTTTGTGAAAATGAACGCTATCAACTCTACTCTCTGCCTATAGAAAAGCAACGTGAAACATATCGTGGCCTCAGTTTTGGCGAGTATGTTACAGTGACAGGAAAAGATGTGAGTTTACCGATTTTTGAACAAGAACAAAATTTTGGCATTGACAGTGTTACTAATTTTTTTTCCAAAATGAAAGGCGAGAAAGTTGAAACAATGTATGTGTATGACTGTAGATTTTAAAGTAATCAAGTGATGCAGAAAAGAATGACGTTCTGCATGTGTTCCAGTGTTCTTCAATCAAATTAACATATTAATAGGATTTTTTCCGCGAAGCAGCGGTAGTCATCTCAAAAAATCTTCTAATTTATAGGTTACTTCGACAACAAATACGTCGGTTGCAAACTACGAAGAATTCGTAGCAGTAATGCTGTCCACGTTGGGTCCCAAATCCAAATCCACAAAGCCCCTGAAATTACTGTATAACGGAGAAATTGACGCAATCTACAGTAGTGAAACCTGAATGCTTGTAAATTTTCATGTGACTTGTTTCAGAAAACAAACTCGTAGAGTTGAAGGTGACGAATTATCGCAGGGAAGATAAGGACAACAAAGAATGGTTCTTACAATCGTATTTCATGGGCATCACCGACATCTATGCTTGTTACGATGAAAGAGGAGTTGTCAAAAAGGTTAGTTAGTCAATTGTTGCACAGTATGCATTATCTGTTTAGGTCAAACCTTTGCTCGTTAAAAACCTTTGCGAAGCAAGCGAAGTAGACGTATGCATGAACCTGCTCTATAAAGTGCTAAATAAGGTTTGTCGCAAATATACAACACTTCCTTGCGTCAATTATTTTGGGTCAAGTAGGAATTGCATTTTTTAGTTATCTTCATTTTTTTTCAGATAAAATCAATGCTAGAACACGATGGCAATGTCTGCACCATCGAGCATGTAGAAGGTAGCCGCGAAGCAAAAATCTGCCTTGTGGCTTCTACGGATATGTTCTCCTCCGAATTCAAAAAGCAATATGAAGTGGAATAAAGAAAATTTCAAATTTTTCTCACACAAACAATTTTCAATATGCAATCTGTCAATTCGTATACTCGGTCAAGAATGTATCACCAAGTCAAAAGTCACTGTTTGGAGATTCTACAACTAGTTTTGGCTTTACTGCATCCAAATTAGTTTTAGTGTTAACTTATGCTTCGACTTTCGACTGCCTTACCTGTCACCTATTTATTACTCTAATTATTAATTCGATAACATTAATACATATAACTCAATATACTTGTGTTCGCAATTGATAGTAAACATCCTTTCGCGTTTTAATTTTCTAATCTGTATACGTATATAAAACCAAATGTCTGTTAATCTCTAATAAATGTATGTCTTTATGCGTGTATATGCTTCCGGTACAAAATTCCCTTTCTGAACCGGCCCGAATCAAACTTTGCACACATACATTCGGGGGGGGGGGGCGATTGTCATAGTTTACTTTTCGTCATCGATCGATATTGACTCTATCGAAGTTTAGCAAAGTTTGAGCAACAGGGACTGAAAGTTGGCAAAGATCAAGTGAACAGGCTGATTACAAATACAATATATAATAAATACTTACTTAGATACTTACAAGGAAAGGACCCAGTCGAAGTGAGGTTTCCACATGTGATGCATATCATACTGTTGTATTTGGGGCACTGATACGAGATCCGTGTTCCTTAGCTGCTCATTGATCTTCTTGGATAAGTTATGAGGGACGATTCCTTACGATGACCACTGGACGTTATAAGACTGGGGCGCCATGGAATGTACGGTGTGGACGGAAGGGTGGGTGGATAGCTGCGGAACTACGGCTTGGATGATGGAGAGTTGGCGTCCATACAAAGCCAAACTTTCCATTTTCTGCAAATTGTATTTTGTAGCTCGCAGACGATTTTCGAGCAATCAGACCCTCGTTCAAAATTGCTTGCTATTTCAGAAAATAAAGTTCGCAAAAATGCAAAGTTTGGCTTTGTATGGACGCCAACTCTTCATCATCTGCGCCGTAGTTCCGCAGCTATCCACCCACCCTTCCGTCCACACCATTCCATGGCGCCCCAGACTTATAACGTTCAGTGGTCATCGTGGGGAACCGTCCCTCATAACTTTTCCCAGAAGATCATTAAGCAGCTAAGGAACACGGATCTGGTATCAGTGCCCCAAGTCCAACAGAATGATATGCAACACGTGTGGAAACCCCACTTCGACTGAGGGTCCTTCCCTTGTTAGATACCTAGATGGCCCGGCTTCACGTAACGTGCGGGCCCCAGCTCAGAAGTTTCCATTTCTTCCTGTCCCTCGCTTCAGACATCCACGATCTTCTTGGCTGACGTCGGTGGCTGCGTCCACGAGTTCCAAGTGCAAAAATCGAATCCAGCTGATTTCTCAGCTGGCCCATCCGTTCCACGAACACCCCATCTCGTTGGAGGTCTTCCTCGGGGACGTTTTGCTTCGCGAGGAATCCACTCCGATGTTCTTAGTGTTCATCTGTCGTCTGTTCTTCTCATGATGTGACTGGCCCATCGATGCTTCGCTTTCGCAACGTACTCCGCTGGGTCACGAAGAAGGAACATTCTCCTCATATCCATCTGCGAAGTCCGACATGATGTTATTTGTGTCGGGTCATCTTCAGAAAACTACGCTCTTGCGCTCTGTGGGTGGTCCTTAAAGCTTTCGAAGTGACTACGGTGTCAGCCCAAGTCTCAGCTGCGTAACAAAGCGCCGGGAGAAGGGTTGAGTCGAAAGGTGTGGGCACGAAGCTCCTGGTCCGTCACTTGGTCGGCGGCTTCCTTCAGAGGCCCGAAGGTGGCCCAGGTTGCTCTTCTTCTCCGTTAAGTTCTTCCTTTAAGTCGTTCTCCATGTTCATCGAATGTCCGAGATACACGTAAGAAGACGTTTTGACGTCTTCATGATTGGGGTGCCTTCCAATTCCATTTCTGCATCTTTGCAAAGGGCGTTCTTCATAAACTGAGTCTTCTTCCGATTTATTCGCAATCCGATCTTCTTCCCTACTTCGTTCAGTTCCTTCAGCATCGTCTTTGCTTTAGTGATACTATTCGAAAAGAGAACGATGTTGTCCGCAAAACGAAGGTTCGACAGAATCTCTCATCAACTCGTATGCCTAACTCGTCCCAGGGTCCAGTGACTTCATCACCCACTGCAAGGGCGCGGTGAACGGCTTCGGCGAAATCGTGTACCATGTCGGATCCCCTTCCCAAATGGAATAATGAGGGGGCGATGGAACAGCTGCATCGTCGTTGTACAAGCCTAGTAACAGTAGGCTAACGTCCTCACGTAAGCTGGGTCCACTCCTTAATCGACTAGCGCAGACAGGATGGCGTTGGTTTCGACGCTGTCAAAGGCTTTCTCGTAGTCGACAAGGGTTAGGACGAGAGGTAATCGGTACTCCCGGCAAACTTCTATGACCCTCGAAACCGTCTGGATGTGATCCATGCAACTGAATCCCTTGCGAAATCCAGCTTGTTCTGGAGGTTGGGCTTCATCCAGCGTCCTTGAGATGCGAGTGAGAATGATCTTGGTGAAAAGCTTATACAGCACGCTCAACAGGCATATCGGACGATAGTTTCGAAGATCTTCCCGTTCGCCCTTCTTGAAGAGAAGAACGGTTCTTGACGTTCTCCACTGGTCGGGAATCCTTTCCTTCTGGAGATAAGATGTTAGGTGCGCCGCCAGAATCTCGTATAGACAGTGTCCTACAGCTCTCAGCAGGTCCACGGAAAGATGGTCTGGTCCTGGAGCTGTGGACGTCTTCATGGTCTGGATCGCGACGCGTACTTCAGCAGGTAGAATTCGTGGTGGCGCTTCTCCAGTGGAAACAACGGGCATCGGGCATCGGCAAGGGTGTTGATAAGCGGAAGAGGTTGGTGTAGAAGTTCTTCGCGATAGATTCCATTTTGTATCGGGGAGAAGTTGGAGTCCCGTTTTCGTTCAATAGTGCAGTCAGCGGTACGTGATATTCACAAACTTCGTCTTTTTTCGGCTGCTTCCAATATCTTGGCCCTGCTTGTACTTCCTGAGATCCTCCTGCAAGCTGTTCTGCAACTGTCGTTGGCTATCAGTCGCTCGAGATGGGCGCATTCGGATCCTGCCTCAGAAATCTTCTTTTTTCGAGCAATTCCTTGGTGGTTCGGGATGTTCCAAGTTCTTCTCGGAAGTCATTAAGGCACACTCTCCGCAGGCTCGCAATCCTTCCAGAAGCCGGTCGTAGTCGTACGTTGGGTCCTCCTCGATGGGCCAGTCACAACTTGATATGAGCTCCTCCAGCCTGTTAGCGTCATAAGCGACATTCTTCCTTCTTGCGGCACTGCGGCAGACCTTCTTTTCCAGCCTTCGACTAAATCGTACCTTCGATCGAAGGAGGCGGTGATCGGAGACTGCAAAAGGAAGGAACTACTGAGACATCGAGCAAGCTCCACCTTCGGTTGGTGAGAATGTGGTCGATCTCCGCGTGAGTCGTTCCGTTGGGCGATTCTCATGTCCACCGGTGATGTTCTTTCTTCATGAAGATGAAATTTCATGGTAAAGTCGTGCGGCGGAAAGAAGCCCAACAAGACGGTTGCCGTTTTCGTTCCGGAGAGCATATTCAAACTTTCCGATCTTATATTCCTTTTCTATTAGGTTGTCAAGAAAATAATGTCGTTTCTCATAGCAAGGCCATAAGACAAATCCAAAAAAATATGCGCGAGGTACCATTCGATAGAGCAAAGGAAGCTCTACAAGATGACATCCAAACATTGGCAGAACTTGTTGTTTACGCAAAGTTCATAGCCAAAACATACGAGCAACTCGTGATGCCAAAAATTGGATTTTTGCCCTAGAAAATCCTGCGAATTTCTTACTTGCTCCTGCATGTAAAAGACACATGCACTTATCCATAGGTACACTTGTTATATTTTTTCCATGCTTAGAAACCAAGAAAAAATCGAAAAATGGAAAATGGCAAACTCCGCCCCCAGTAGTAGTGGGCACCTCCCACATATGCCTTTGCATCGTACAATGCTTCGTAAATTTAACCATAAAATTTCGGCTTCGGATATGCTTTAATTCTCGAGTAATATCAATTTTATCCGAAAAAAACCCGAAAAAAACGACATTATTTTCTTGACAACCTAATAGTAGCATCCCGATTTTCGCGTTACAGTCGCCCACAACAAACTTGTAAAGAAAACTTTTCGTTTACCACCTCCTCCACATCTTCGTAGAAAGCATCTAGTTTTAAGTCGTCAGCTGCTCATATTGGAGAATAGCAGTTGATGATGCTGATGGTCTTCTGACGTGGAGGGCTAGTCGCAGGATGCCTAGTGGAAGTGATAGGATCTTGTTCGAATCGACAAGATGGACGGTAGATGGGTGGACGACAAAGCCGACGCCTCCCACGTTTCGTGATGGAACCTTTTCACCACGGATTATGAGAATCCCGTCGCTGCCGCACGTCCTTCTTGCTGGACTACTTTCTTGCAGAGCGATGATGTGGTACTTGATGTGCTCTGCAGCGTCGAGAAGAGCGTGGAGGTCGGCGTTTTTGGAGACTGTCCTGGCGCTTAGGTGCAGAGCAAAAGGCAGTCTCCATGGAGTGTCGTTCGGGCAGACGTGTCGTTTTTTCCGATCCAAAAGGCGCCCTAAGGGCCCTGACAGCGTTTTTGCTACCACCCGGCGAGTAGGCGGGATCCATACAGCGTTTTCTTTCGATATCTTCTTGCTGTCTGAGTAATAAGATTTGTTCCTCTACAAGAGCAGACTTACTAGGCCAACTCTTGATTTCCACGGGCGATAGCTGACCTCTGGCTTGGAGTGACGAGAACCGCCTAGCGACCGAAAAAGTCAGGCGGCGGGGATCTGGCTTGGCCGGCTCTTAGCTAGGCATCCGGCCAAAACCGGAAACGTCGAATTCCTTTACAGCTTAAGAGACCCTGCCAGAGTATACACTCGGCTGTGCATCGCAGTTCGACACCCAATGTCACCCACACGCCACGCTGAGGCGG